GTTTACTTCATTTATTCACTAACATATATGTATCAAGCCTGTTACATGCCAGGCATCATGCTAGGTGTGAGGGTTGCATGTTGAGTAAAAGCAGATATGACAGGCACTTAACAAGAATTTGTGGAAGGCAGAGATGCCTTTGAGACTTCTAGGTGGAGAGGAGAATGAATATAGGTGTTAGTGACTGGTGCTGGATGGTCAAGGATAGCTAGTTAAGGTCACACATGAGATCACCCAGGATGAGGCTATGGCTTGAGAAAAAGCCAAAGGTCAAATAATGTATGCCTGCACTTGTATCTTGCCTTATTCCAGCAATAGAAAGATTTCAGGTGAGTTGAGTTTGGATCTCTAATGAGGGCCATGGTGTGCAGGAAAAGCAGAAGAGAAGTCATCAAGGAGGCTGGAGAGGTAGAGAGGTAGATGGGGTTCATAAAAGAAGCCAGGAGTGGAGAGGTTTTAGAATGCTGCTGTGATGTCAGCAGGTAAATGTACCAGGGTCAAGTAAAATAAACACTGGATGGAGTCTGCTGTTAGCAATTGACTGTGGCTGCCTGAGTAATATCAGGCAGGGGGAGGAGGGCGGGCCAGAAGCCAGTTAGCTGCACAGTGGGAAACTGGTGGGAAAGGATGAGGAGTGGAAAGTGTGTGAACTAGACGGGCCAGCCGAGTGGCTCAGTTGGTTAAGAGCTTGCTTAAGAGCACGGGCTCTGAGCAACAGTGTCGCTGGTTCGATTCCCACATGGACCAGTGAGCTGCACCCCACCCGAGCTGAGCTGCCAACAGGGGGCAGGATGGCTCAGCTGGTGAGAGCAAGTGCTCCTAATGACAAGATTGCCTGTTCAATGGTGGGCTATGCCCACCTGCGGCTGGGACTGAACTCCTCACCTTGAGCTGAGCTGCAGCCCGGATGGCTCAGCGGATAGAGCGAGTGCTCTTCACAGCAGGGTTGCCAGTGTGACTCCCGCATGGAAGGAAGGAAGGGAGGAAAAAAAGGAGGGAGGGAGGGAGGAAGAAAGGAGAGAAAGTGTGTGAACTACTGTAGAAAGAAGCTGGGCTCTGAGGAGACAGAGAAGGAAATGAATACAAGGTCAAGGGAAGTTCATTGTCTCATGGCTCATGCAGGGGTGGGGTTTGGTACTGTTTTCTGCTGGAGTGAGTGAAGAGGGACGGGTTGAAGGCCCAGGAGAGAAAGGTTGTCTCTGAGGTGGATGGTAGAGAGACTCCAGAGCACAAGCAAAGCAGAAAGAGTAGCTTTGACTTAAACCCCTTGAGTCTGGTGCCTTCACTTAGGAGAAATTGTAATATAGTGTGCATACACAGACCTGGTAATTAATCCGATTTTATCCTCCCCTCTCCCAACTTCGATTTAAGACCTGCAGAACTTGGACAGTTACCTTACCTCCTGGGTCATGGTTTCCTCTTCTGTAAAAACCTCATTGGAAATGGAGACTTGAATGAGATCTTGCTCATCAAGCACTTCACACAGTGCCAGCCCCCACATGCTTTCTGTCCTGGGGAAGAAATGAAAGAAACAAAAGGTGGCTGTTAGGATTGAAAAGGGCATTAGTAGGGGTAGTTCGATTGATATTTTGATTGCTTTTTAAACTTTTCATTAATGTGTTTCGTTCATTTAACGATATTTTTAAACGAGAGCATGTTATACACCAAATGTTTTGCAAGTGGCTGGTGCACTATGTCAGACTTCTGTTTATAATCCGTCATTAGAAGTGTTAGGTCTGTGTGAATAATGTAAAATGTCAGCTGCTTTAATAAGAGCGGAGCATCTGAGAAGTTTCACCATCGTTAAACCTAGCTTGGGCACTGCTTTTTAGGAGGCTCCTTCCTATTTTGTGTTCTTGCCCTTTAATAACTGTTACCCATGCTTTGAGGAGAGAGCTGAAGTTCACTCATTCCTAAAAATCTGAACTAATGTAACCTCACCTTCCTGCAGCGTGAATGACTTTTTTCACTGAAATTCTCTAATGCCTAATAAGAGAGGACCCTGGTCCCTAATCCCTGAGCATACTCATGTACTGGATTTGCTTTGTACAGTCGCATATTTTTATAAGCCATTTCCCATGTTGAGACTTGTCCCAGGATCAGTTTGTGTATCAATAATGCCAATAATTGTATACGTAACAGGCAAAATGTTATCAGACACAGTGACTTCCTGAAAGTAGCAGTGGAGGCATCTGCTGGTGCTGGTATGTGGTAAAGCACTACAATATCCTGCCATAGAAGTGTGTGGCTGTTAGTTCCACGGCTTGTGCAGTGTCTAAATATGCTGACTGCCTTACCTATACGGCATCTCTTATCATTTGTTCCACAAAGCTTGTGCTGCTGCACTTTCACTGTGTCTTTCCTGTCCCTGCTGAAGAGTTAGGCTTGGCTTATTTTCCTTTTCCTTTTTATTTTCACCAGTGGATCGCATTGTGGGCCTGGATCAAGTTACTGGTATGACTGAGACAGCTTTTGGCTCCGCCTATAAAACCAAGAAGGGCATGTTTCGCACCGTCGGACAGCTCTACAAAGAGTCTCTCACCAAGCTGATGGCTACCCTCCGCAACACCAACCCCAACTTTGTTCGCTGCATCATTCCAAATCACGAGAAGCGCGTATGTGTTAAGCAAAACGTATGCTGGTACTTAAAACTGATCTCGGTCAGGGTATACAGGTGAACGTATAAAACTCTCCTTCCTTTGCTTGATTAGGCTGGAAAACTGGATCCACATCTAGTGCTGGACCAGCTTCGCTGCAATGGTGTCCTGGAGGGGATCAGAATTTGTCGCCAGGGGTTCCCCAACCGCATAGTTTTCCAGGAATTCAGACAGAGGTACTGCTGACTTTTACCTTTTTTTCATGTGTACCAAAGCTTATCTTACTATGCATCAAAACGGTGTGAGATAATGAAAATTTTCTCCTGTTCCCTGGATAGTTTCAGTTTTCTTTTCATATAGGAAAGCGATAATCATTATTACCTTTATGATTGGTCAAGAGTATTGAGTGCCTACTTTAGAGAGGGGTAAGGTGCTTGTAACTGCTGTAGGTGCTTCAAAGACTGTTCTGTCTTCAGAGCCCTGAAGTCCATTGTGCGATAAATATTTAAAGCCGAGGACTTAGTTACCTCATTCAGACAGTTGTATCTGGGATTTAATTATTTTTTTAGTTGATTTTCAAGAATACAGTCATGTGCCGCATAACATTTCAACAATGGACTGCATGTATGATGGTGGTCCCAAGGACTAGAATGGAGCTGAAAAACTCCTATCAACTAGTGAGCTCATAGCCATTGTAAGGTTATGGCAGAACGCATTACATTCATGTTTGTGGTGATGCTGGGGTAAACAAACCTACTGCACTGCCAGTCATACCAAAGTACAGCACATGCAATTATGTACAGGATATAATACTTATAATGATAATAAATGATTATGTTATTGGTTTATATATGTTCACGACACTATACTTTTTATCATTGTTTTAGAGTGTATTCTTTCTACTCAAAAAAAAGAAGTTTGCTGTTAAGCAGTATGCCGTGTTATGCCAGTAGCAGCCCCATACATCTTGTGTTTACTGTGTCTCTTGAGTGCGTCATTTCTCTGTGCTTGATTTAATCTCGTGTTATTTTGTACAGTGACATACGCTGTACAGGTTTGTAGCCTCGGAGCAATAGGCTATACAATATAACCCAGGTGTGTAGTATGCTATACCACCTAGGTTTGTGCACCCTAGGATGTTCACACAACAACAACATCGCCTGATGACACATTTCTCAGAACGTGTCCCCATCATTAAGTGGTGCGTAACTGTATATGAGTAATGTATGTTCCATTTGGGAAAATTTGAAAATACAGGACTGTCTCTTGAAAACATTTTAGAATATTTATTTCCATCTTTCATTGATTATATCTGTGTATATGTGTTTATGTGCGAATGTATGTATTTTTTTCATACATAGTGTATATGTGCACGAGCATATAAGCATGTGCGCTTATAGTCCTTTTACTAATACAGAGTAGGGAATAGGATAGATTAGAAAAGAAGGATTAAGACAAGACAAAAGAAATGAATGCAATAGNCAAGCCATTCTTTGCCCTGAAACCATGTGTTATGAGACCCTTGGAGGTTTCAGGAGGGATTTTAGGTCTTAGAAGGAACAGTGCCGCTCTTTTCAAGAAGCTGCAAGAATCTTATCTTTGCATTTTTCTCCCTTTCTTTGATTCCTGTTCTAGCCATTTTTAACAAGAAACTATTTTTGTAAAATAGAGGTTTTTGTAGGTCTTGATTTTTGAGTGAAATCCTGTATTATTAGCGTGGCCCAAATCATTTACTGAAGTTCCCAAAGTATCTCTCTTTTACCTACAAGATAATTTTGCTCATTGGTGGAAGCTAACCCTGAGCTTAAATTTTTGAATTAAAATCAGAAAGAGCTGAAAGTCCAAAGCATGCTGAATATTTAGCTTTGGATCACCCTTCTTAACAATAAATTTGAAGATCAGGTTCATTATGATTATATCTTTTGTTTATTATTGTAAAAAGCAGCCCCTGCCCGGGGCTGCACTGTTACACCACCATCACCTTGTGTGGCAGAGCTGCGCTTGAGGCCAGAGCACCCCAAACCAATGCACTGAGTCCCCACAGAGGAAACACTGCGCACCTCCCCTTTTGTTGGGGGGGGGTACCTTGTTCTTGGGGGCAATTTTGTGTTCAATCAGCAGAGATATTTATTAAATAGCTACCATGTGCCAGGCCCCATGCTCAGTCCAGCATTGGGTGGTGGGGGAAGGCAGAAGACATCATCTGAGCTGGTGGGCAGGGGGGTGCGGAGACACGGGTAATGGCTCTCAGAGCCCTGCGTGTGTTAGACGCTGGACAGACGTCCCCAGGGTAGTTCAGTCCATCAAGAAGATACACAGAATACAGTGATGTTGTCCCAGGGATCTGGTGACGATTTGCAGCCTCGAAGAGGGAGTAGCATTTAGTCTAGAGACAGGGTGGAAACTGGAACCTAAGAAGAGGTAATTAGGGAAAGAATGGAAATTTTAAAGCCATTAAGCATGTGCCAGGATGGCTAGGAGGAGGGGTCGGTATTCCAGGCAGAGAGAAAAGTATGGAAACTTGAGGTCCTTGTGTCTATGAGAAAATGCACCTGATTTGTACGATTGGAGCTTAGGCATATGTGGAAACATGGCAAGGGAGGTACCTTTGTGAAGCTCTTGAATGTTTTCCAGGCACATCATGATTCTGTGAGTTGGGTCACATTAGCTCCGTTTCACGGAGGAAGACACTGAGGCTTGGAGAAGTTGGGTAACTTGACGCCAGATCACACAGCTCACGAGTGGTGGGTGTGTCTGACTAAATTGTGAGTCTTTAGTACTGGGCTCAGTTATTTGGACCATATCCTACAACTGTAGGAGAAATTAAAGGATTTTAAGTATAGGAATAAATAACTTTAGTTTCATCTTTTAGAAATACCTGTTAATCATTACGCTGGGACCAAAGGCATAAATGGAAAGAACAGTGTGGCGTCAGGGGGAGAGGACGAAATGGAAGAGTGAGGCTGGAGGAAGGAACCAGTTAGGAGGTTATTGCAGAATCCAGGTGAGAAGTTAAAGCCCAAAGTAGGGCAGTGGAGAGGAGGGGATGGATCGAAGACATTTGGAAGTTTGGCTTGACCAGTTTTGGTGAGCAGCTGGATGTGAGGGAGGAATGGAGTCTGACTCCTGGCTTCTGGCTTGAGTAACGGTGGTCACATCTGCTCAGGAGATACGGGAGGAGGAACAGGACGGAGTGTAGGGGTAGTGAGTGTGCTCCAGTTTAGGATATTGACCTTCTGTCCCTCCTACTTCTGTTCATTTCTCATCTTCCTTATCTGTCTCTTCCTCATCTCTCCAGATCCTTGGGGCTTGGTCCCAGGCCCTCAATCTCTTCGTTTACCTGTTAGGTGGCCCATCTAGTCCCATGACTATAAACACTGTCTGTAAGTCGACAGCCCCCAAATGTACCTTCCTAGTTCAGACCTCTCTTAGCAGCAAACTGGACCGTTCAGCACTCCACTTGACATCTCATCTCCACCTCAATGTCTCACAGGCACCCCACTTACACAGAGCGTGGAACCCATCTTCCCACCCACATAACCCACTTCTCTCCCCTCTTCCCAGTGGCACCACAAGCCTCTCAGTTGCTCAGGCCAAGATCCTAGGAGTTACTCTTGACATGTCCCTCTGCCTGATTTTTCATATCAAGTTAATCATTAAAGCAAGTCAGTTCTCCTCCAAAATACGTCTTGAATTTTCCTTCTCTGTCCTTCTCCTCTGTAATCGCACTAGTTCCAGCTACTGTTATCTTAGAGCCTGGACTACTCCAGAGGCCACCTACCTGCTATCCCTGACCACCTCTGTGGTCTGTCCTATAGACAGCAGTCAGTGTGACTGTCCCTACTCACAGTGCTCCATCGCACTAGCTTCCTCCACTTCTTCCTGCCCATGGCCCTTCACACATGCTGTTCCCACCGTCTAGAACATTCTCCTCTCTA